TTACGCAAGGATAACTCTGCGGGACAACAACCAACATCTTCCTTCAGTGTTGCGGATACCGAGGAGAATGATCGGTAAACGCTCCGACCGCTGGATCTTCGATTGTGTCGCAGTGAATGCGGCTTTGCTTTGGCGGTGAAAATGCTCGACTAAACCGTTAGCAGACGGATGATATGCTGTCGTGGGTCAATGAGAATAGCCAAGCATGCAGTTTAGGTCGCGAAACAGTTCAAAATTAAATTGGGGTTCTCTATCCGCGATGATAGTGGTGGGGTGCCAAGCACGGATATCCGTTCGTCTGAGACATCTCGTAGCGGCACGATGTGTAGCCAACATGAGAAGTGGTTGACATGCATCAACAAGTAAATAAAACCGTTGGATGGCGGTAGAGGTCTAACGATGTCGAGATAGCACGCTTGAATCGAGCGCCGGCCAGAGAAAAGATTCTAGGAACAGTAGTCGTGTGGCGACGTATCTTGCTATTCTGGCACTTAGTACAGTGTTTCGCCCACTGCTGGATATCAGGGCGTATGCTGGGCCAGATGTAGTGATCCGTAATCCGCTTGATGGTAGCGCGCCTGCTCGCATGGGAGCTTCCATGCAAGTGGTCAAACACAGCTCGTCGATACAGTTGCGGAACGCATGGTTGAGGCTTTCCAGGGGGTATATCACAGTAAATCCGAGAGTCCAAGTTGAGAACAGGCAGTTGAGAAAGTTTATTGGAAGGATTTGATTTCAACTGCTCAAACTCAGCATTTGTTTCTTGATAGGCAGCGATATCTTCTAGGTTGATTGCTTGGCCTGAAGAAGACCAATGCGTCCGCTACAACGTTGTGAGCTGCATCAATGTGTCGAATGTTGGAGGCAATATGTTGTATGTAATCCCACTGACGAATTTCCCTAGGTGAGATGCGATCAGAGAAACCACGAAAAAGTGAAAGTAAGGGGCTTATGATCCGTAAGCTTGGTAAATGCAATTATTTTAATGAGTCGTTTGATCTGAGTTGGATAAGCTCAGGATCATTGGCTTGTGCGGCAGATATTCGCTCCAGGTCTATGGGTGTCGGTGACAGTTGATTCAGATGAGGACGCGATAATGCATCAGCAGCAGTGTTGTTAGGATCCTCGATGTAATGGACGTCCACACAGTTGGGTATGTATCTGGCATATTATTCGATCATGCCGAGGAATCGGTGTAGGCTCCTGACAGATGGTGACGTGTAGTAGTCTCATCATCATAATCATCAACAGCAGTACATCAGCCATTTGAACTGATGCTTCGCTGCCATACAACCATGATGACCTATGAAATAAAGAATAATAAGAAGGGGAGAAGGGGGACTTACCTTAATGACCTAAGCAAACTTCCACGGTCAAGGCGCCTACACTTAGTGTAGACAACATACCGTCACAAACATCTGGCTATCGTGCAAAGATAAGGCGGCATCGGCGAGACAGCTTCCTTGCAGCTTTCACTGCCACGCGTCATAATCAGCCGTTACCCCGCAGATAACTCAGCAGCAAACACACTTTAAACAGGCAAGCCAACTAGGAGACTGCAGCAAACGCGCCACTGGTGTCGACTGCGAGCCATGTCCTGTAAAGTCTCGAGCCAAGCACAAGGCGAGTCACGTGGACTCCAGCTCGGAAGGCGAGACGGACCAACGGCACCCAGTTTGGTCGTCGTTGACTTCATTTCCCGCATCCAAGTCAACTTCTGTCCACCTCGAGCCTTGCTCCACTCTACAACTGGCAGACTAAACAAGGCCCTCCTAGGTAAGCGGTGACAAGGCATACGTAGCACGTGCCCGAGCCAACGCAACTTATTCAGTGCTATCTGTTGTTCTAGGGAGACAGCATGATTATCACCACCTAGTACTCGCCTACGCATATCAGCGTTGCGGACACGCTGATGCTATCCGACACCAGCAATGCTGCGCAGACTACGATGATGGAAGACTTGAAGGCGCCTCAGATCTTCAGACCGAAGGGGCCAAGTCTCACTACCATAGAGCAGAACAGCTCTCACTCTCTCCTTGTATACACGGTCTTTCAGACGAAGGGAAATTCCCTTCTGTCGCCAAAGATGCCGCAGGTTCAAGTAGGCAGCTTTGGCCTTTGCAACGCGTGAGCTGACGTCAGTTTCTATGCGTCTATCATTGCTGATGCAACTGCCAAGATAAGAGAAATGAGCAACCACATCGAGCTCCTCGTCAGAAAGGGTCAAGGGGTCATGAAGTGGTTGGTGGTCCTGCAGCAACACTTACTTTGAAGGGGCGAAGTGCATACTAAATAATGGGACCACTTTAGATAGGCTATTCAGGGTTGATTGTGCCGTCACAACATCGTCGAAAAGCAAAACGATATCATCCGCATAATCTAGATCAACTAACCTTTCACCAGGAAGCACTTCCACGTCTACATCATGAGATTCCGCAAGGGAACACTCCATGATAGAATGCACGACGAAATTGAGCAGAAATAGGGAAATCGGACAGCCATGACAAACTCCACGTGTGGTCGGAAAGTTATCCGATAGGCCACCGTAGACCCTGACGCGGCCTGTAGTGTTCGAGTATAGAGCACGTATTATGTTCACATATTTCATGGAAACACCTTTCCGCGCAAGTATTTCGAACGGAATCGATCGATCGACTGAATTGAACGCACTCTTGAAATCGAGGAACACAGCTATTGTCGGTCTGCGGTATGCGTGGCGCTGCTCTAGCACCTGCCGCAAAGTGAATATATGGTCTATACAGCCACGTCCTGGGCGGAAACCAGCCTGCTCTTCCCTATTCCAAGATTCCCGTTCCGCAGTGAGGCGACGAACGATACTCGAGGCCAATAATTTTGTCACAACTGGCGTTAGGCTAATATCCCTGTGATTAGAACAGTCTGTGCGACTGCCCTTCTTGTATATTGCCACTATAATCGATTCGCTCCAATTAGCTGGGATGCTATCTTCTTTCCAGACACATTCGAATAAGGAGGTCAGTGCTTTGCAGAGGACCTCACCTCCATCCTTAAATAGTGCAGGTGAGAGGGAATCCGGGCCAGAGGCACGAAAATGATTGAGGGCTGTACTCGCGTTTCGGACCTCGGCCTCGGACGGAGGTTCTAAACTAACCGCCCATGGCTCGTTCTGCATCACCTGAGTAGGAAGAGGTCCGGGAGCAGGGGGCCAGCTGAACTGATCTTGAAAGTGTTCCGCCCAACGAGCCATACGGCGCTCCTTATTGTGTATCAGCGCACCCGCGCTGTCTCTGATTGTCTCGCTGATGCCTGGTTTTCTGGGACCAGGTGCGGATCAGCTGGAAGAGCTTGCGGCAATTGCCTACTGCCCCTGCGTCCTCCATTTCATGAGCCCGAGTGGTCCACCACGCTTCCTTGTCAGCACGCAAGCTTTGCTTTAGTTCACGCCTAATAGCCCGTCTGGTCACATTGTGTTCAGAACCAGCCGGGAGGTGTCTTCTAGATTCTAACAGGTTCACCGACCTCTCGGATATCCAGTGATTGGTGCGGTGACGATTGATAGTGCTACAAGCAGATGCTCCTGCGTTGTGCATGGCGGCCGAGATTCTATTCCACAGAAGCTCAGTGTCATTAGGACAAAACAGCGAAAGTTCAGCATGCAGTGCGTCTTGATTGGTTTGCCTGACCGAGGGCTGAGACAATTTCTCAGTTGCCAGTCGTAGGAGACGCTTTGTGCGCCTACCGGTAAAGTTCATGGAGAAACGACAACGTACCAAAGCATGATCAGAGTCGACACAGGTACTCCAGTACGAGGGGCAATCCAGGATGAAACCACGCCATTTGTAACTTATGGCAATGTGAGCAATTTGGGTCCATCGCTGGTCACCTACAGGAGGACGCCAAGTGGCACTTCGGCGCCCACTGTGTCTAAAAGCAGTGCTACTAAGAAACAACTGGTGCTCCGCACACAGTTGCAGCAGACGCTCACCGTTGTCAGTCCGTTCGGAGTTAAGCCCACATTTACCACCTAGCTGAGCCTCTGAAGAGCTCAGACGCCCTACTTGTGCGTTCATATCGTCTGCAAGTACTATAATATCTGAACTAGTAGCACTGCGTAATAGCGCGTTCAGTTCGTGATAGAATGTGCCCTTGACTGCATTTGAACTGCAGTCGGTGGGAGCATAAGCGGAAATCACAAACAAACAGCGTTTTATACTACTTCGTGAATCAACCTTAGCTGATGTCGTCAAATGGGCTGCACATAAACGGCTGTTCACCGGAATCCAATCAACCAACGATGGCTCAGCCTTGGAGCTTAGAATGATACCTATACCAGCTTGACCCGTGAGTGCTGCATCGGCGTCTCCGGATGCGTGCAGCCAATAACGAGAGGATAAGCCGGGTGCAGTTAATTCAACAACCCCATTAGGGTCATTGATCCTAGTTTCGGACACATAACACACATCAATACCCAGAGTGTCCAAGGTGTGTGTGAGTGCAGCCTGTTAACCTGTTTGTCTTAGAGTGCGAACATTGAATGTCGCCACGGCAACGGGATAGCGTGGCCTTATAAGGGACTTTTGCCGATAGATGTTCTGGGATGGTGTCTGCAGATGATTCTGCTGCAGTGGCACTTCGGTTGCTGTCAATTAAGCTGGGGATTATAGAAGGAAGGTTAGTAATGGGGATCGGGATGGGAGTAAGAGAAAAAGGTGGAAAAGAAAGAAGGGAGGCGCCAGCAGTAGCATGTTTTCGCTTATCCTCCCTGCTGTATGCAGCAGATAAGGCGACCCTTGATAATCTGCTCGACGGAAGATGCAGGATGAAGTTTATGTTTTAAAAATAGCAGAAGTCATCGTAGGAGTCTAGGATCATTTGGATCGCATCCGGAAGAGGTTTGATGCCGTCACCATCGATCCTATGACCGAGAAACTCAACGATGTGCTGACCACATGTGTCATATTTATCATGTCAGTCAGTCCAATCTGCATCAGCTGTTTTAACTCGGGTATTCGCGATTTCTCAACTTGTTCGGTTCTATCAGATCTTGTCGCATCGCAAACGAATCGGCTCGTGTCAGCTAGAAGTGTATGCATTTTTCGAACATAGTTGTCATTTTTTCATTTTATTACTCTTGTTCCTTTATCCGGTCCAAGTATTACCACATTCACATTTCGCCCTAATTTCCTTATGGACTCTCAGTGATGTTTCCCCAAAATTCTGCACTTTTCCATTTCGTTAACACGAAGTATTTTGGCCACATTCAATTCTTTAGCCTTAAACTAATCGCTTGCGTCATCAGTGGCAGGCGTAAGAGTGGATAATTGCTTGTATAGATCTTCAAATTGAGCTTCAATTCCTATTCTGTCACCTTCACTCGCTGGTACTGAGAAATTAAACCCAAGTGACTACGCCTCAATTTGTGAACGACAGTGAAACAGAGGGCAAATGAAGCACGTACCTCGCAGGTTCATTTTGTATCTGATCACTGAAGCACTCCACTGACGTTCAGTCCAGGAGTTGTTGCTTTGTTGATAATGGTCTTCTTCTAAACACAACACGGAGAAAGTTGAATAAATTTACTACGCACACAATATTCACACAGTCTAGGGTATCGTGGGCACATTCTATTCTGGCATTTAACTCTGCAGGTTGTATGTAAACTCAGCCAAATCATTAGACATCTGCTGTATGTATTTGACTCCACAACTAAACTATACTTCTTGCTTGAAACTTGTGTGGAAATCAGCGTTATATCAGATTCTCTGGAAAAACGCTCCCTGTAACCCGATGGTCCAATGCTACAGGAGGCCACTCAAACTAAAATCGCAACTACTTACCTAAAGCCTAGGATTACGACGTAACTTTCCCTTTATTTTCACCGTTGCCGATGAGCATGGATCAGGTCCCCCGTCGCCTAGATTCGAGTTATGTTTATATGTTTTGAAAGTAAGCACAGACCCCGACACGCACATATCACAAATCCGAATGTTTTTTAAACGCTTTACACATCATGGAATAAACAACAACAAATGCTTTCGTTGTTCCTCTGATCGCTTCTCACCTCGAGCGCTTCGTCAGTGGGATTACAAATCACAGTTTTAGAAGCATAACACTTGCGAAGAGAACTCTTTTCGGCAATTCACTTCAAGCAAATACAATTACAAGACATAAACGTACAGGTAAGCGAACGCTGGGGATATGATTGGTTGAACGAAATCGATCAATAGTCCATTTGCTACAGTCAGACGTCATGCGTCGCGTGAGCACGCGCGGAGACGCACACAAACACAAAGCACAGACGCGCTGGACGGCAGGTCTACAATGGTCATTCTTAGTCGGAACCGCGGTGCGACATTACGGCCACGACAACAGTATAGATTGTATTAGTGTTCTCTGTTTGTACAAATCCGGCTGATTGCAATGGCTTCAGCGGTGGCCAACAAGCGCTTTCTGATTCCTTTAGGGTAACGCCTCGGTGCCGTTTAGAATACGAATGTGTCAATAGTTTGAATCTGATGGCCGGTACTAAGCAGATGTTGCGGACATTCTTAACCATACCATATTGCAGTGCTCCGCTATCCGCCTAGATAGACGTCTGGTCGTATGTCCGAGGTACCTTGCATCACAGGTAGAGGTAAATTGATATAGAGCAAAACATTCGGAACGAGCCGGGATTCTATCTTTGAAGCGTTGCTTGACAAGCGGAACAGTTTCAGCAAATATATGAACCTTAGCGGCCGGATATGTCTTGTTCACCGCCCGTGATAGTCTCCTATTCAGTAAGTCAAAGCGATATCTCCTTTGAAAGTAACTGAGAGGTAATCATCCTTCTTTCTTGCAGTCGGTATCGCGTTAATTTGATCAGAAACAGCTAAATGCTTTTTGTTAAACGTCGCGGGATACCCGTTGCTCTGCAACGTCTTTTAAATAAACTCCAATTCCGCTTCTAGCATTTCTGGACTGCAAATTCTTGCGGCCCGATAATGCAGACAACGCACGAGATTTCTCTTTATTTAATGGGTACAAAAATAAGAAAGTGCGTGTACTGACCAACCCAGGTTGTCTTACGGAAGATTCTTCTCTCGAGTGAGCCATCGGTTCGACGTCTCAACAAAATATCCAGAAACGAAGTTCACCGTGATTCTCCAGCTCGGAAGTAAATTTTACTGATGGATGTACTTGGTTAAACTGCCCCAGTAACTGAGCGGGATCGATGTGGGAACCACACACGATGAACGTGTCATCCATATACCGCCGATTGAGATGAAGGGAATTGATTTGCCGTGTAGGGCCACACTCGACCTTTGCGAGGAAGAAATCGGCAAGTAGCGGCCCTAACGGCGACCCCATTGCAACTCCATCTATTTGCCTATAGTACTTTCGGTCGAATAAGAACTGCTTGTCAAAGGTACAGCGTAAGATTAGTTCTTTTATCTTATGCACAGGGATTTCAGTGGCAATGTTGTTATCAGCTGTATAATCGCAAAGAAATTCACAGTTATCTAGCAACGGAACATTTGTGAAAAGAGATTCTGCCTCAAAGGAGAGCATCAATTTGTCTTTCACATTGAAGTCTCCCAATTCTTTAATAAATTCACATGAATCACTGACAATATGGACTGATAATTCTTTGCGTAGCGGATCAAGCAATCCTACTATCCATATAGCAACTGAGTGCACGGACGAGCCAGACATATCGATGATCGGACGCAGTAGCACGTTGGGCTTATGCACTTTCGGTAATCCGTACATTCGAGGTGGATGCGATCCACGCGGGGTTGGCCTCCCGAATGTGCAGATATCAATATATCTACTGCGTTTCAGCTCCTTCAGTGATTTGATGAGTTTGGTTTCATTTTGTATCGTGCTGTCCTTTTGTATTGCATCAAGACTGCATTTTCTCGTATCATGCAAAATGGCATGCATCGACTCTATGTAGTCGGACTTATCCATCAGCACCCAACCCGACCTTTGATCACAATTTGCCACCGACATTCGACACATTGATGCAGCTCACAACGTTGTAGCGGACGCATTGGTCTTCTTCAGGCCAAGCAATCAACCTAGAAGATATCGCTGCCTGTCAAGAAACAAATGCTGAGTTTGAGCAGTTGAAATCAAATCCTTCCAATAAACTTTCTCAACTGCCTGTTCTCAACTTGGACTCTCGGATTTACTGTGATATACCCCCTGGAAAGCCTCAACCATGCGTTCCGCAACAGTATCGACGAGCTGTGTTTGACCACTTGCATGGAAGCTCCCATGCGAGCAGGCGCGCTACCATCAAGCGGATTACGGATCACTACATCTGGCCCAGCATATGCTCTGATACCTAGCAGGGGGGCGAAACACTGTATTACCTGCCAGAATAGCAAGATACGTCGCCACACGAGTACTGTTCCTAGAATCTTTTCTCTGCCCGGCGCTCGATTCAAGCGTGCTATCTCGACATCGTTAGACCTCTACCGCCATCCAACGGTTTTATTTACTTGTTGATGCATGTCAACCACTTCTCATGTTGGCCACACATCGTGCCGCTACGAGATGTCTCAGACGAACGGATATCCGTGCTTGGCACCCCACCACTATCATCGCGGATAGAGAACCCCAATTGAATTCTGAACTGTTTCGCGACCTAAACTGCATGCTTGGCTATTCTCATTGACCCACGACAGCATATCATCCGTCTGCTAACGGCTTAGTTGAGCATTTCACCGCCAAAGCAAAGCCGCATTCACTGCGACACAATCGAAGATCCAGCGGTCGGAGCGTTTACCGATCATTCTCCTCGGTATCCGCAACACTGAAGGAAGATGTTGGTTGTTGTCCCGCAGAGTTATCCTTGCGTAAGACGCTGATACTTCCTGGAGAATTAATACTAGATTCTAGGGTCACCGGCGAAGTCGATCCTACGACATATGTTGCACGACTGGAATAATACTTCAGCGTCATTCGTCCAGCGCCACCGAGATTCACTTCTCGAAACCACCACATTCACCCCGACTTGCACACGTGTCCCTTCGTTTTCGTATGCATTGATGCGGTTCGCACATCTTTGACACCGCCTTACGAAGGCGATTCCAAGCTCAGGGCTCACAAAGAGACGAATTTCGTATTGAACAGAAATAGTTCTAATGGCCCTTCCAATATTACTTGCTTGAAACCATCCTACATCGAATTCCATTTAACACAACAGACTCCCGACAATCACACTGAGCACATTCTGCCACAGAGCACTCCGCCCATCCAGCTGATTTGCGGCTCCATTGCTCCCTCCTTTCCTTACCCAGAACTTATCACAAGCTCTGCCACACAAGAGTACACACGTTTTGGACGTGCAATTATTCTTCCTTCTATGGTAGTTACTCACGTCAGATAGCACATATTAAGTGTTCATCTTCTTGACTCACACTCTAGGGGGGTGGAGTTCTGTAGCTACAGTGAGATTTCTCCACATTAAATGAAAACGGATATCCCGAAAGTTTCACAGCACGACACTCAAGCGCGAAAGCGAATACTGGAAACGAACGGCTCCTGACGTCCCTAAGAAACTAATGTTCGTAATGCTACCATTGAAAAGTGTCAAAAATGACGAAGCTCTAAGCTCAGGTTGATACAAGCGTTACAACTACCCGCCTTGAACGTCGCAGCTTTTATGTTCCGTTCGATCAGGAAGATTTCAATCTTCATTCTAGTCTCCAGGGATTGCTTGAAGTAGTCCTTGTTCAACCACGATGATGTTGCACACGTCGAAGCATGTTTACTTCACTCCTAATCGCCACTGGGAAGAGTCACAACCGACGCACCTCGCGCTGTATTATCTTCACGTCATAACAATCTCGGTCCAACAGAGATTGCCGTCCCTCAACCATTATTATTATCTGGTCGCCGTGTATGTCCTTGCTGTATATTTGGTGCCCGAAAGCGGTAAAGGAAGCACAGCACTATGCCCTTCACCTTGCTGCAAAGCGGATTCTGCAGCAAACGTCATATTGATCGGGCCCTTTCTTTTTCGCAAATCCAACAAATTGGCAACCAACTTTTTGACCCATTTGATGTAACCAGGACGTATTAATCAACTACCCAACGACGTCACGCATTAGTGAACACAATTTACTTCTCATACCTTCTGGATTAATCACAATGGTCCTCGTAAGCAGTAAACTCTTCATCCTTAATTAAAAATTCATCCTGTCGATTGGTGGCCAGCTATCCTTTCCACGATTTGGTCTCTAGTCGGTCTTAAGCTGCTCTCTTGTGCCTCGTATTTGGTGTACATCGCAACAACGATACTAAACTCAAGTTTACCGTGCTTTAAATTCCGTGCAGAAATCAAGCCTCATCATGTGGGCTGCATTTTGTTTGCTCAATAAATACGCGACGCTATCATTGACTACATCTGGGCAGTGCGTTCATTGTAAGGGGTATATCACTTTCAGCAGCCGCAAAGAAAGTCCTAGCTCTGGGACCGGCTCTGTCTTCTGCTCGCTCATGACTTGTATGACACTGGATGATAAGCCACATCATATCACAGTTAGTGATGAGCCATGACGGTCCACTGTAGTCACAATTGGCTTAGCAGTTTAAGTCGCTGGATCGCAAGAGTAAGATGGTGCGTTTGGATTCAAAAGAATCCAGCAGATGTGCGCTGCGGACGATTTACAATTGGTCGAAATAACCGCCTAGCTTTTTTACGAATGTGTGATGGCTGGCCGCGATTAACCCTCTCAAAAACACAACAAACCCCGCCCTCTACTCTTTAGCACTATGGTTACGCTAATTAATTGATTCAATGTTCTTTTCTGTTCTTGATCAGTGGGGTTTCAAAGGACTCTATGCTCCAAGCCGTCAGCAAGGCACTCCTTACTTTGGACTCTTTTCTGGCAACAACGCATGGTGATCCAGCAGCCGGTTTTTATTTTGAATGGCCAAACGTGACATTCCAAACGGTTCAGCGTCGTCTGATGGAACTACGTCGCTCCACGAAGCAGTGGTACGATGTCCTCTCAGATACCGACCCAGGTGAATTAATCATTTTCAGCCTATTCCACTTTTTCTTCGTTTTCTGCTACCATTATGATGTACACTTTGGAACTTTAATGTCTGCAATATTGCAGTCAATAATAGTAGCGTTCTTCTTCAGACCGGAATGTACTGATCCGTTGCCACGCACCAACCGGTTGGCAACGACTCTGCTGTCACGGCAGGCCTCGCCAAATAACCCTCACTGACTCATTCACGCCACTGAAATTTCGCACAGAGATGTAAATCATTACCTATTGTCATTTGGTCGACCTCGCGTTGGTTTTCAAAGTCAGCTGTCATCATGGGCGCAACCACTTGCGCTATCGAAACCGTCTATCGTTTTGGGACTGTGATTTCTTTACGGGTAATGAATTTATCCCGTAGCCCTAAGGATGCCTGTTATGTAACCTGAGTGCGCGGATTCGAGTCTGCGTAGGGACCGGGCGACCCTCGCAGTATCCTTCGCCTACGTGCGGCTGTTGGTGGTTGCGCGGCAGTGAAGTGTCTGTACTGCGCATCGGCGTAGTGCTGATGCCTTAGCCTTATAAAAAGGTTCTATAGCAGCAAATTTCGTCTTCATTGATTCAGCATCGGGTTACATACAACACATTTCGGTAGCCAACATAGAACAGTGGAGTAAGCATTATGAATGTTCCCACGGAGTAACAGGAGGAGTTGAATGATATAAATAGAAGTTCGTCTTTTCTAGATTCAGTTAGACAACCATTCCACACCCTGAAAAACACTATGCGGTCGTTTCATCCGTTCGGGATTCAACAGCAGCAAGCACACCATCCGGCCTCTGTGAGGCTAGAACCCTTAACCTGACTGTTACTGGTCCGTAATGAAGACCACCGAACTACGGGGAACGGCAACGACCGTCTTGACCAAGGTACTGGATGTGCTATAGCACCACTGGCTTGCACGTTACCGCTGTGCAGAGGACATTGCAGCCCCCATAATGAAGGTAGTTAAGAGTTGAAGTGACGATCGTATTTCCACTCGTGCATGCGATTGTGGTCGCCACATCGAAACCTGCACGGGCGACAGCTGACTTGTGTAGAACCATAGTCTTCATGATTTTTTAGTGTACACGCAGAGTGCAAGGACGAGTAACAAGATCCACAATCCCGTCTTCCGCTTCAAGTATGCGTCATTCGTTCGGTTTGGTGTAGACGTCTCCTCACACGTTGATATGCGCAACGATTGCAGTGGTACAGGTTTTATCTAATCTGCGACCTAGTCACGCTGGGATGCTGCCTTCGGAAGCTTTTGGCTAAACTTCTTGTGACACAACCTATGCAGCTTTCCTAACAGGAACAAGTTAATTGGTACACACAAAAGGAGGCGAAATTTACAGACAATTATTCCTTTAGCTATACAGTTAGCACCGGTGTAGAAACGGAGAGAATTCTTTAATATGGTGCCAATTAATGTTCTTGATTGCACCTCTGCGTCTTCTGCTAGTATGTGTGGTTGGATCCACCTGTGAAACGCAATGAGATATACATTTCTTTTCTCTTAGACCCTTTAACCATTCTCTAGTCGGTCCACATATTTATTCATCACCGGAGTCGGCGCACACTTTCAACAGGCAGAACAGAAGCATTCCTGCCTAATTGGAAAATCATGCGTACCAGATGTACACAAGGCGGTGGCTGAGTCGTAGGCCGTTCCACACATGATGGAACCACTGTCTGAACCTATCATCGTCACAAGGACGGTGCACCCCGTCCCTTCCAGCAACGACCAACTATCTCCTGGAGCCAGTATGGACATGGTGATGGCTAATAAACTGGTAGGCACCTTGTTAACATTCATATCATGTGCAGCCACACCGGGGAGCTCAATCAGCATCTTACCCATGCAATGCATGAGTACCCAACACGCACGCAGAGGTACCACACCAGCCGCCTTATTGGCCTGGATTAGTAAGTCGAATGGGAGCAGATGCATCGCGCTTCTCCTCCGCGTGCAATCGTGTCTTCTCTCGCACTTGGGCCATCGCCCTCTTGATCAGCTCACGGAATTCGCACTGACCAACTTTGTCTTTTATTCGCCACACTTGAAATCAACATTCGTTCGTCATAAGCTCACCTTGTTCATGTCCTGGTAACATAATTTCGGTTTACCCGCGTGCAGTTTCCCTTCAATAAGTTGACGGTACAAAAGCTGTATGAGTATCCTCGTCGAAATCATTCGGTATACAAATATAAATTGATTGGCGGCATCTGTGTCCAATGGCAGTTCGAATACGACATATGCGCTTGCGTGTGTCCAAACTTAAGTATGGATTACCACAAACTGGATAGAGACATGTTAAACCTCATAAAGATTAGTGCCACTAACATGCATGGCTTTGGTTTGGAGGTAAGGCTAAGAGCCTTTTTCGCCAAATGATAGGAATTCACGCGTACTAGAATATGTACCCAATACGAACTGTCGGTGTTTTCTTTAACACTTAAACATACATGACAACCTCAAATCTTGGGCATCAGTATTTGGTCGAAACCGACATAAGAATAGTGATACAACTGCCATCAGTACGGTTACCAGGTAGAATGACAAGTTAACAAGAGGTACATAAAATAGTATGTATTGAAGTGATGCCTCCTATATGTGAAGTCGGTTTGCGGAGCTGATGGAAATCGCACAGCGTGCGAATTTGATAGGATGTTAACATCAGGCTCTTCGTGTCGCCGATCGCTGCTTAAGCCTGGACCGGACCGATCATCTGCTGCTCAAAGAGCTCTTTTGCACAACCTTAAGCATTAACTGGTGGTAATATCACATGTTCCCCGCTTAGGACCTCGTTGGCGCGACAACAACCGCACTGCTACATCAACTAAGTCCCGTTGCCCACTGTCGAACGTTTAGCTAACAAAAAGTGCTCGCACTGTTTTGCACATTTCCAAAAAGTAGCATAGCTATCATCTAAGTACTCATCCGTTTTTACATACCGCTGTGTATGCTGTGGCCATTATTATTTGGTAACGATCTGCACCGTACGTCTTGGATGCAGCCATTCGACGCTCCTAAACAATTGTCGTTATGTGCCAATTCCTTTTCGATGTAATATACTAAGACACTGGCGTACCGTTGCCGCTCGCATCACCATCTTAGTCTACCAAGAAGTATGGCCTTCAATCCGCATAGTACCTGCGTTTCATGAGCGCAGGTAAATTTATTCTGGCTGATGAAGAAATAGCTCTACTCACTCTCATCACTAACATGTGAAGCAGAACATGAACTGTCTTCATCATGATAATCGCTGGTCAGATATCCTTGTCGGAATTGTTCATTTGCAACGGATTTTCCAGGGCTATTTTTCTTCGTATGCATGATCCAACATGGTCACACGATGGGAAATCGTTGAACATTGTGTTCCAAACTTCGAACTTTACACTTTAAGGACAATGTAAGCATCTAATCGGTAGTAACCTTTGATTCACGCGTATCCACCGAACTGGAACATAATAATACGCCACCCTAACATAGATCCGGATCAACAACTCAATTCGCTCGGGAACTCCGCGCGCACGCCAAATGTGAATGAGATTATGGATGGACTGAACCTTTATTCTGCGATGCACCGACTCTGAATGTCGTGCTGGTTAGCATTGGGCAGCTGGTCGAGATAGGGTCATGTAATCTACCCAGCGATTTCAAGGAACAGAATATAGGTAGCAAAAGGGATGTTGGCAGCCTCGCATAGTCTGGTGAGCAATACCATAGAGCTTACATAGTGATGTGAATCGTGGACGAATAATTATTCGAAGAGGAGGATACCGTAGCTCACCGTCTCAGTATGTCACCGCACTAGAATCCACTTGAGAAGTTAACAAGGGTATCATAAGTCACGAAAATACAACTGTGTAGTGGGCAACACGTGAAGTAATCGCGAAATACAACTAAACTCAACGAAAGGTAGGCTAAATGTGACTCTTTCGTCTTAGACAGGTGCAATAATGATACCACATTGCACTTAGTCAGTAGTTAATCATTCTATAATGAAACTGTACTCAATTGCGACTTACATTATCGATAGAATAAGGATAACATAAAGAAAATGACGGGGATGGAGTAAGTAACTTTTTAGCTTAGAAGTGAAGTGGTGCGCTTAAGTCAGCTAGTTTTCATAAGCTCAGGTAAGTTAAAGTCAGCGGATGAAGAACGGGAATCATAGCTATGCTTAATTTAACGAAAAAGTAAAAGCACAGTGGAACAGTGATGACTTATCGTTGATGTGTGCTGAAAATGCCGTCTCCTATATTAACTGCCGGCTGCCCGTGTCGGAAGATAAGCCAGAGCCGGTCCGATCGTCTCTTGTCCGAGGTAAGTGCGGATGAACATCTATGTGGAACCAACAGTCAGTCGATCATGTGGTACTATTTACTGTCCCCTTTGTCGCCCGTTCTGGGCGATAACATATCTCGACCAGTTCATCAATGCCGATAATGCTGCCTGTGTCCAAGCCTTTCGATTTGGATGTCACATCTTGTTTCCGCTGTCCGTGAATCAGAATTGATGACTTGTGTGCGTCTCAGTCTGTGCCAGAAAGTGACGGCTCTACAAGGGGGTGTACCGAGGGTACTTGACCTGGCTACATCGATATCATTGCAATTCGAAATAAATCACCGTGTCACATTATCCGTCTGTCAAGTTGAAACTTAACGAGACACGCTACCTGTAATTTGGGCGAGCCCCAGTTGGACATAGAGCCATCAGATAATGTTGACACGCGTGTATAAATGCAATTAGTCTGTCAAGCTGAAATGTGGCGGTTACAAGTACTTCTAACTGACTTCCACTTACTCATTCAACATGGTGACAAGCACTGCCCGCTGCGAGTAGATATCAGTTGACCTACAAATAGTCTAGAGTTCGAGTTGCAGTTCTGTAATGTTGCGAGCAGGCAATGGTAGTTCGAACCCAGCATATCCACGTACGTTCACATGCATTTGTTCATACTTGTGTATGGACAGCCACAAACTGAA